CTATTTATTAACTAAGTCGAATTTTTTTTGTTTATTAATTAAACGAATTTAAGCCGATTTTATCAAACTTATATCCGAAATATTTCCAAATTTTTATTAATTAAGTTGAATTTTGTTTGTTATTAATTAAACGAATTTAAGCCAATTTTATCAAACATATAGCCGAAATATTACATAATTTTTTATTAACTAAGTCGAATTTTGTTTGTTTTATTAGTTAACGAATTTAAGCTGATTGTATCAAACGTATCAAACTACTACCAATCGTTAATGTCGAATTTTATTTTGTGTGGCACCTGAATTGGGCAACATTGGCTATAACTAAAAATGCTGATTGTTTTGGCAATGATCGGCAGAAATTAGATTATATTTTGGCCAACATTCGGCATTTTAAAAAAGTGACGAATTGGATTATTTCGACTAGTGTATATTTATAATCATGATATTTAGTACTCAAAAATATAAAGGGTTAGACCAAAATAATAGCTTGAATAGTTATTGGGTACGAAATATTCAATATGAGCTGTCATCATGACGTAATTGCACATGACCAATTATGGTTATTTCCTTTTGGCAAGTTACATTATTGATTGCCTAATCTTAATTTACATAACATGTTTAGAATAATTATTGATATTATTAGAATTAAATAATCCGTCAGCATCTAGATAGTTATCAGATACTTCAATATTGTGATCTTTTTTAAATCATGATATTCGGTAATATATGATCTTCAAATTATATACGATATAACTAGCCAGTATTTTTTTTAGATATTTAATTAGATATTTTTAAAATATAAAAATAAAAATTGGTTATTTATTTTTATTTTAACTATTAAATAAATAATCATATACTTTTATTTATAAATTTATATTATGCAAATGATCGACATTCCAGAAATTCAACTGATTATTCTAATTTTTCTAAAATTAGAAATGACTGATAATAAATTTTTCAATTTGATGGGAATTCATTTTGGAGATATCGGCCAACCTTTGGTACTCTGCAATAACTTCTTAATCGACCATGATGTTGAGGAATCGAGATGGGATATTTCGACATTATTTCAAGTAGAACACCTATTAAGAGCAACATAAGCTTGATCTGATGAGAATAAGTTTCCTTATAATATTAAGCTTTGAGTTTAATGAGAGATAAGAGCAAAATAATTCTGTAAAGGAAATTATACGAGATTGCAGTTAGTGGTTGTAAAGCAAATGATTATCTCATTGAGTCCTAAATACCTTGGTGATGAGACCTTAGGAGACTAGTCTTAGTATCAGGATTTGTAAAATAATTTCTTATGCTAATTAATTCCTCTCTCACCTATATATCACTTGCAAAAAAAAAAATTAATTTATTCTGAGAACCTCATTTTTTTAACTCACATCCCATATGTGTTATATTACTATTTAGTTGGATTTTAATGAAAAATTTTGATTATTAGATTTATCAAGTAACTAAATTTTAGATGTTTTATATTACTGGATTTGTATTTATGATAGTATATTAATTGAAACATTATTTATGTTACCTTGTAATCTAATTATTAAATATTAAGCTCTTAATAAAATAAGCATAATAGCATAAAATTTTAAGCATTACTTGCTGAGATATCTCAATTCAAAGTTTCCTAGGCATTTGTTGAGACATATCATGTGACCGATATCAATAAGTCCTAATTGGTTTGGTTCTAATTGGTCTTAAAGAATTTAAAGATAATTTTAATTTTTATATGATTAATTAAATTTTTTAATAATAAATTAATCTTTTTAATAATTATTATATATCAATTATTTTATTAATTTAAAATAA